CAAGAAAGCCGGTGTCACTTCAACAAGGAGATGCTATACCTTGTTTCACATCTCGTTCTGGCGTAGGAACGAGTAAACACCGTATAAATTACTATATATTTGGGCAGAGTGCGCTCAGGGACGACTCCATCAAGCTGAGGAAACTTATACTAAAGAGGTGCCCAGCCCTGGGGAACAGCTGTCCGAGGCCGCGCCCTCCCATTGCACCAGAGAAAGGGATCGGTGTTCGCACCGAGGCCAGCGCAACCGATGGTTGCGCGGGCTCGGGGAATTTTTGTTCCTTGCCCAGGTGCACGCGCTCGGGCTCCCCACATTAAACCGATCTTGTGTCACAACCTGACCTCGCCGGGGGTGGGGGGTCAGTAAATATTTACTCGGGAAGTCGAAACTGAAATTTGAAAAAATTGTTGTAGAATGTTTTAATGACGTTTCAAAATATGCAAAGAATTTTGGCAACAAGAATAAAATATTTTTCTTCACTTTTCATTTTTGTTCATCTTGCTATTCAAGATGCAATGACAAAAACTGAACCTGACTTCAATATTTTAGGAACTATTCAGAAAATCTACAGCTTTCGAGAGACGGCTCTCCACACATCCTCTTTGAAGGCATCACCATTGATGGAGAAACACTATACGATTAAAAACCACATATACCCATATTGGGTACCTCGACGTGGTGTAATGGTTAGAAAGTTTGTCTTGCTAGATCAATTACGACTCATTGGGTACCCCATACTTTCTAAGCCGGGCTTGGAAAATCACTATATCACGTTTCTTTTATAATAAATTAGTTTACCACAAATATAGTGACGATATTTTTTTTTCTTCTGTGTGATCAATTCATCTCTGATTTTCAATTCGTATATTTTCTTTCTTTTCTTGCTAAGTGAGTCACACAGATTTCGTTCACCGTATTTTTTTTTTAAATACCGGCCGTTGAAAACACATTTATTGATGAGTCTTAATTTCTAAATATTATCAAAGAGTTTCAAAACGAGAAAAGCAAAATATATTGATTTATTGCCGAAGTTTCTTTGATGTTTCACTTTTAACGAATTACTGATGTCGGTCTCTTTTTATTTCTATGTTTAAAGAAAAACGAGTTAAGAACATTTTTTTTACATCAAAAACATACACCCACATCTATATATATATATATATATGTCTTGGTAAGGCGGAGAACTTTTCACCACTTACATTGTATACAGTGTGAGCCAGGCATTTGAGAACACGTTTTTAGAGATCTATAAATGAAAGACAACCTAACGTAATATTACGCGGCATGCGCAAAATTTTAACATTTTCATTTCTCCCTCAGACGTATCGATATCATTAACATAACAGCATTCAATTTGACACAGGAAATAGCAAGTTGTGTTCTTTTTACTAGGCGCTAATCATAGCAACTCGGAGATTGTGAACTTTGTTAAGATGGTCAGGTGAATAGAAAGAATGACTGATGTGTCTGCACGGACTCTACTGAAGTATGTGACAATGGTCATGCTTGCTGTGAGCTACGAGGGAACTATAATGCCACCCAACCTCTTCATACAGGGTTTCAGGGTCAGAGTTACCGCTATACTGAGGTGTTCAAAACCTGGAGGTGACTGTGTATGCTCTACCAAAACAGCACTTGCTCTCAAATGGCCCATGTGTCCCAGAAATTGCTGAATTTTCATGATAATATCACTTCAAAGTGTAACTTCCTAGCTACTCCGATTGAATCCCTTTAACTACTACGTCAGGGCTCTCGACAGGTGTCTCGTCAGGGGTATCGTCTGGAGTCTTGTCAGGGGTATCGACAGGTGTCTCGATAGGGGTCTCGTCAGGGGTCTCGACAGGTGTCTCGATAGGTGTCTCGTCAGGAGTCTCGTCAGGAGTCTCGTCAGGTGTCTCGTCAGATGTCTCGACAGGGGGCCCGATAGGAGTCTCGTCAGTGGTCTCGATAGGTGTCTCGACAGGTGTCTCGTCAGGGGTCTCGTCAGGGGTCTCAATAGGTGTCTCGACAGGGGTCTCGTCAAGGGTATCGTCAGGAATCTCGTCAGGGGTCTCGACAGGTGTCTCGATAGGTGTCTCGTCAGGGGTCTCGTCAGGAGTCTCGTCATGGTTCTCGATAGGTGTCTCGACAGATGTCTCGTCAGTGGTCTCGATAGGGGTATTGACAGGTGTCTCGACAGGTGTGTCGTCAGGGGTCTCAACTGTTATCTTTCCTATATATCCTCATGATCTGTACTTCTTACCTCTTCTTCCGCTTACGTTCATACAACAGTCTGATTCAATAGCCTCTCATTTGAGTGACTCTTGGGCCTTGTACTGGGTGAACAATTAATTTTAAAAAATCTATGGCAGGTGTTTAGGCGCAACATTCCTTACTTCCACCAGTTCAAACCTTTACAACTGGGACCCACCATACCACATCCTTAGGGTCGAATCATCATCGTTTTCCCGTATTCCATTAGTAAAGAGGAAGTTCCATTCATACAGAGAACCGCTATTTTGTGGAACAGATATATAAACTGTGCCTATTACTCTGTAACTTCTACCTCGAGTGGCTCTCTAGCCTTGTACAAGGTGAACCTCACTATAAAAAAATGATGAGTTTTCAAAATTTCATGTGGGACAATTTTTATATTGTTAGCAATGTCAGTCGACGTTGAAAAAAGCATTTGACATTTTTCTTTGTATTTTATTAGGAAAATCACTCAAGTGTATTTATTACATATAGGTTCTGTCATGTTCTTATTCGGATGGGGTTACGATTAACGACAAAAAGAGTGTTAAGGCCGACTGATCTTTATTATATGTCGATTCATTAAAAATGTGATGACAAATCCACGTATTGTAGAAAGGTTCCATTAAAGTCTCTTTCAAGTCTCGTCCTAAATAATTGCCGATTAAGGAGAATAACTCGTGAGTAATGGATTTTTCACAATACTACACGTTCTAGTTTTACTCATCCACGTAAAATGTTTGATATAAACGTACATTTTTCTTAATTTAATAGAAATCTCTGCCAACTTGAGTAAAGTATATTTGATTTTCTTTTAGTTTTTTTTTTATAAATTTCGGGGTGGAAAACTTTTCGAGTTTTAATAGGGGATTAAATTAACTTTGCAAATGAAACGTGCTCTGGCATCCAGCCTTTCGTTAATGGACAGCGTCATTTCCAATTCAATCACAGATATTGGATGCAAGTTAAAAAATCAAAAAGTTTGTGCGTAAAATAACATTTTTTTATTCCTAATAACAAAGAGTCTACCGTGGCACGATGGTAGGGAAGCGTTTCTCTAATTCAACGGGGTTGGATTTTCAATGTGTGCCCTGCGACTATGGCTTTATTCTACAGGAAGCTAAGAAAAAGTCACTATAAAAGATCATATGTCATCTTCTTTGAAAAACGTTCTTGCTGAAGCTTTGCTGTACGTTGTACATGTAACATCGCTGTTATCGATGCAGAAGTTGGGATTGGCGTGCCGAGTTCAAATTCCAACCTAGGCCGTTGCGTTACTTTCACACAAATACTCTTGGCAGAATATAAACTCATCTCTTTTCTCCGCCATCTAGATGCTAATAGCAGGACAAACAAGCCTTGTTTAGCAGCCAGTCTTGGAGAAAAACAACTGAATTTAAAACCGGTTGAATTCAAAACTCTATCCCGCAGAAAAAACTTACTTGCTACAGAAACCACGTAATGGTGAGGCCTTGGCCCATTTGCTCCACGGAGAGTTTGCAGAAGTAACACATGATTTCATTAAATATGTATTTTGACAGATACGGTTAATTATTGTTTGTGGAAATTGCATTGTTGGCGGATGAGTTTTGCTGTTTCGACCACAATTTTTTATGGTGGGTGGTTGGCATTTAAAATTTAGTTATTTCACTTTCAGCGTTCACAGTTCTCGTTCTTAATGTTAGTAGTAGTATTAGTAGTATCAATGTGATTTTTTTTATGCTGTCATTGTTGCTATTCGAGTAGAACTAATCATTTTGGTCATATCCAGGGGCGTAACCGCTATGCACAAATGAAGTTAGTCTTAATCAGTGGATATCTTTGTCCTATTTTTACAACACTTCTTTTGATCAGTCGAAATAATCCATTTGAATATCGATTAATGAAATCGCACATTCAATATTCTATTGACTTTTCATTTTTAATCTTCTTTCTTTTCCCTCCTTTCTTCCTTCCTTTTTCATTACCCGAAGCCTCCCGACAAGGCGGGATGTGGCACAAGGCCGGTTTTTAACGTGGGGCATTCCGAGCGCGTAAGCACGGTCAAAATTCCCTGTAGACATCGCATACACGGTGTCAGGTTTGTGTACCTCCTCAGACGAGATTCTACCCTTCGGCATAGCCTCGTCTGGGTTCCTCTCCGGCCGGAGGCAGAGAGGTCGACAAGAAGTTCTGTTCAATTTCTTCCTTCCTCATTTCATTCTTTCTTCCTTCCTCATTTCATTCTTTCTTCCTTCCTCATTTCATTCTTTCTTTCTTCCTCATTTCATTCTTTCTTCCTTCCTCATATCTCATTCATCTATAGTCTTTTTTTCCTTTTTTTTTATTTCATTCTTTTATGTAATTTATATGTATTTTACCATTTTATCTTTCTTTTTCCTTCTTTATTTCAATCTTTTATCTAATTCATATGTATTTTTACTTGTCTTTTCTTTTTTTCTTTCTTTATTTCAATCTTTTATCTAATTCTTATGTATTTTTCATTTTCTTTTTCTTTCTTTTTCCTTCTTTTTTCAATTTTTTATCTAATTCATATGCTTTTTACATTTTCTTCTTTTTTTCCTTCCTTCCTAATTTCACTCACATATAGTTCTTACTTTTTTTTCCCTTATTCTCTTTTCTTTACTTCATTATTTTATTTCCTACATACATTTCAATATTCACTAAATGTTGCATAGTCTGGCAGAAGATCAGGGTTATGGAGCACTTCCTCTCGATCTCTCTTCGACAACAAGTGTCTGTGAAACTAGCCTTCTAACTACTGCACTATGGTGAGGCGTATTTCTTCCATTTCATCCCGTTTCTTTTCTTTTCGGCTTTTTTCTTTTTCTTTCTCCTTTTTTTTTTTTTTGTTGGATTTACGGTTTTTATTTCCTTCTCTTTTTTTATTTCCCCCCCCACATTCTTTCATCGCTTCTTCTTTTCTCATTTGCCTTTACATCGACATTCTTTTTGGCTTTGTTTTCTACCATTTCCATTCCTTACTTTATTACCTTTCTTTTATTCTTGGATTATTTGTAGCAGAGTGATGGTTAACAAGATAGCCTACAATTTAAGCAAGTCTGAAGAAATTCAATGATCTATGGGTGACCTACGATACTATTTGCAAGCCATTTAGAGTTAGTCTCGCAAGTCTTTGTTAATAAGAGGAGTCTATACATGTTGCTCCATTACGCTGACCATGTGCCATACTAAAGCTACGATTATTTAATCTCCATTCAAGTTTTTCTTTCTTGTATCTATCTACCATTCTATCATCTTATCTACATTTTTCTTTTTCCTTTTCTTCTCGCTCTTTTCACTTTTCCTTTCTTTTTCACACTTTTTCCCCTTGTTCATTTTTTTCTTTTCTTCTTTTTTCTTCTCTTTTAAAATTTTTCGCATTCCTTTTCTCTCTTCCGTTCTTTTTCTCTTCTTTCATCCTTTTCCTTTTTCTTCTCTTTTAACATTTTTCTTTTTCTCTTTCTTTTTTCTCATTCAACTTTCTTTTCCTCCTTTCTTATTTCGATATTTGCTTCGTCTTTTCCTTTAGGTTTTATCTTTTCTTCCTTTCCTTGCTGCGTTCTCTTTCATCTTGTTTTTTTCTTTCTTTTTCTTTCTTTTTCTTCCTTGCTCTTTCACTTATTTCTTACTTCTTTCTTCACACCTTTATTCCTTCACAAATATCTTTCACTGCTTTACGTATCTATTTATCTATCACACACAGACACACATATACTTATATATATATGCATATATACGTAAATACATATATATATATAACATCAGGCTTTGTCCGCTCGCTATCGCTTCGCAAAGTAAGATATATTCACTACTTGAAATCTTTGAAATAATGTTTAAATGAATATTTCATTCATAAATTGGCTTGTTATGGTTAAGGAAAGTTTTACAAATGGTTGCCAACTTGTTGAAAGCCAAATAAAATGCAAATTTCAATCACTTTTCTGCGCTATATAAGACAATATTCCTAAACAGGAAAACAATTCTTGAATAAAAGAAAATTAATGAAGGACAGTTAATTAATGAAATATACTTTTTTAAAATTAATATGCAAATTAGTTAAACCTGATGAGTGATATCACCTAGAAATAGATAATGCATAACTCTTCAAATGGTGAATGTATAACTAATTCTAATTTCGGTTTTCCCATCTTTACATTACATTAATTTTATCTGATAAATTGTCCACTGTTCAGTCTCCCATGAAATAAAAGTAATTGTTTGTACGGAAAATAACGATCGCCGTTCATCATCAAATTATCTTTAAATTAAGTGGCAGCAGAAGAATTATCGCTAAACTTTTAAAAGGTAAGCTTAAATATTAATTCAATACTTAAATGCAGCGATCAATTTTGAGTTCTTCTGTAGTTTATTGATGACTATCACATCTACCCCTCCCCACCTATTGTGATGATGGCCAAACCAAGAGTCATCCACAGAAGCTAGCTTAAATGCCGCCCAAATTATATATATATATAACGACACACACGGATACACACACATATACATATATATATATAACACATAGAAACACATAGGTAAATACGCACACACATTTTACATATATATATATATATATATATATATATATATATATAATAAACATAAAACATTAGGCAGCATATGATTTACATACAAAAGAATAATCACACATAGAATTAATCAGAAGTATTAATGCGATTATTGGCGACATCCATCGCTAGAAAACATAATATATGCATTAAAATCCTGTTCATCCATAGTGCGAGTTTTGATCCTTGACGAAAAACTTTTTGTCTGTAGTTTTTCAGTTTATTTGATGTTAAAATGCTAGTACTTACGGATAGATGGATAGAAGTCTATCCGTAAGTACTAGCATTTTAACATTAATACTTCTGATTCATTCTATGTGTGATTATTCTTTGTATGTAAATATATATATATATATATATATATACGTGTGTGTGTGTGTGTGTGTGTGTGTGTGTGTGTGTGCGCCCTGTTTTTCTTATTTATCCCATGGCACATATCATTTTTTTCACCTACAACCAAATTATTGTTAGCAAATTCAAATATTTCAGCATAAAAAAAAGTTGAAACTGACAGGATTGCCTTAGTAGAATTCGAACCCAGAGTATTTGGTTTCATTGTTTGCTTGCTCTAAAATTTATTCCGTGAATAAATTTCAAATAAATATGCACATATCCACTTGGAGTTCCTTTGGGATCAAGAATTTCTTGAACCGAAGCAAATATGGCGATTGTTTTTTTACAATTTCTTAGACGGTTCCCTCATAAATATTAATAAGAAACAATAATGAACTCGCATACAGAGAGAAAAAAAAGAAGCATAAAAATCTACCAACGCACATCCAAGCTTACAAATTAAAAACATAAAGAAAGTAAAAAGCCTAATATTATAAATAAGGCGCCTCACTATCAACCAATATTTAACAAACTCGTCGTACAGTCTATTACTGCTTCAGTGAGTTTGATCCTCTTAGATTTCTCCATAGTTGTGAGCTTAAGCCTGTCTAAACTGAGAAAATACACACAGGGCTCTTCATCATGGTGCAACCTTTATTACACTCATCACAACGATCATTACTGCTGTAGCAAGTTTGTGTGTGAAAGGGGCCAACCTTCAGGGAATTTATTAACAGTTAAATACGTATATTTGTGGATCATAGCGTGTTTCTTGAAAATAATGTTGGTCCGTTGTAGTGAACTGAAACAGTTATAGATCATAAATCCAATCTAGATATATTGAATATGTTTATCGCAACATCGTATACTCTTTACTTATAGGATTTTTCAGTATGACAATAACCTCAAACGCTCTGTCGGGTTAGTCAAATTCTACATTGAAGAAAATAATATTGAGATTCTGCTGGTGTTATTAGAATTGTCAAATTTTCAAAATTTCAGCTGGAAACCAGAATCCATGAGAGAGGATTGGAACTAACATCCAAAACAATAAACTCACAAATAGAAATGTTCTCACTAATAAAATGATAGAATGTCAATCGTTATCAATTTTTCACTTGTATTTTCTATTCGTCTGATTTTTTTTTATATGAGCAGTTATCATTATGTTCGACTGAGCTGTTACGAGACATCTTTCCGTCTTTATGGTAGCGAATGTTGCACGGTTTCCTCAAAGATGAAGACACGAGGTGACATGTGGTTCTACAAAAGGATGCTGAGGATATCATGAACCGAACGTGTGAACAACGATGAGGTCTTAGAGAGGTTGCAAAGAAAGAGGAGGCCTATACTTAATAGGAAGAGGCAGCTGAAGTTCCTGGGATACATAATGAGGAAGGAGGCCCTGGAGAATCTGATACTCACGGGTCGAGGGAAAGAGAGACACGGGAAAACAACGCGTGGCATAACTTTGCGGCAAGTGGATGACAGAACGTGGTCTGGAGGAGGAAGCAGAGGAAGGAACTGCAAAGGGTAAAGGGAGGTGGAGAGCCATGATCGCCTAAGTCCTGAAAGGACATGGCACATAAAATGAAAAGAAAGAAAATATCTGTTCGAACTAATGTCTTCGTGTTGGTTATTGCTGTCAGAGCGTTTCAGCTGTTAAAGTCTTCAGACTTCTCAAGGTGTCTGTCAAAGCTGGTAACCGTCCAGGAATTTCTAACCGAACACTTTATTCAATCCACAAGTGACCGCGGTATTATTTTTACCGAGAATGCTGAGAATCCTATGAACAGTGCATCCAAAAAATGAAGACATTCAAAGAGAATAAGAACTCCAAAGAAACTCTGTTGCTAACATCTAGTTGGCCATTTTGAAGCAATTACTAGAGGTGCAGGTACTACAATCCAAAAATGGGTCACTAAGGAATTGATATTGCTGAGACAAAGGAAAGGAAGCTCTGGAGAGCTATGAACACTCATCTTAATTGATCACTATCAAGGATAAATATGGAGGTAACAGTTTATTGCTACTCCTACCCAGAGAAGGAAGGTAGCTATAGGAGTATGAGTTGTCCAACTGCTTGCTCATCAACTATCTACTCCAACTTCGACATGATAACAACGAGACCATTTTGTCCAGGTATCTGGTGATGGAACAGAGTCCAGGGATCTAAATCCATGCCTTTCCAAATTATATTAATGCTAATTAAACGCAAGCATCTTAAGTTAAAATCTTTTTTCCTTGCTGGTTTTCTCTCAAAATCGTACGATGGGGTGTCAGCTGTGCAATTGTTGCCTGGGTATGGAAAAGAAACTCGCTTACTCTCCTCTTCGACAACTACCGCGACATGCATGTAACAAGATACTCTATCGAAATATCTGGCAATGGGATGGAACAGAGAAAAAATTGGATTCACGACTTTCTCAAGTGCAAACTCAGTAGAAAAGTATCTTTTAGAAATTCGTGTAAGGCCTTAACATCAGTAGAAGAAAATATTCTACACGTAAAGACTAGAGATAAAGAAACTGAAACACGTTAATCACATGGAGAAAAAATATATCCTCATATTTCCTTCAAAATTTACAGACAATAAATAAGGACGCATTTCTCATCTCCACATTTACATTGTAAATCAAACTTCCGCTGTCATGAAGTTTTAGTTTTGCTTGATATCAAACTGCCATTTTATATCCACCTCAGTCGATTCTATTTTAAAACTTTATTTTTTCCTAAAGAAACGAATGTCATATTCAAAGTAAAAAAAAAAAAAAGGAATACATTCTTTGAGAATAAAACACTAATTACCTGAACCGAATCTTAAGCAAAAATTACTCCAAATGTAACAGCTTCTGTTGTCTTATAGACGGACACAATATCAGGGTTTAGTTTTATCTTTTACATTTATTGTGAATTAAACACCCATTTTAGAACCAATTAACACGGTTCCATTTTAAAAGCTATTTTTTCTCGGAAATATTTTATATTCAAGCAAAACTGTTCAAATTATTTGGGGGAAAAATACATTTTTAAAGAAAAATATTCCGGTTTCCTAAACTAAATGAAAACCCCAAAATGTTTAACAATATTTATGTTTGCATTTTGTTTTTATTATTTTAATTTATGTGAAAAAACATGAAAACTAAATATTAAATAAAGCTTACAAAATACATTCTATACCAGTCTATTTTTTGTTATACATATAAAACGCCTTATTCAATTTTTATTGATAATTTTTTTGCGTTTGTCTTTTAACTCAATAAGAATGAACAAATAAAAGCAAAACATTAAACAAAAGAAATCGATTAATATATTATTTCATTATATAATATATTATTTCTTATGAACAAAACTTAAAAAATATGTATATTTCTGTAAATAAAAATTAGTTTTGTAACATTTTCAAAATATATAATTAGAAATGATAAGGAAGCTTATTTCCTTTTATTCGTTATTGCCTTGACTTTATTCTCAAACTACCATCTAAACTCTAAGGTCGTTATCACTTTCGAAGCAAAAAGTGATTTTAGTTCAATAACTTCGCAAATTAATTATAAAAGCCAACAAAAAAGTAATGTCATTTATAAAGATTTAAAAAACAGATTGAAATAATGTAGGCCTCCGTCTGCTTGGCTGGAGCATCAAATTTTGTGACTGTAGAGGCTAATGTGAGAGTGACAAGCTCTGTTGCAGAGGTCACATGTGTTTTCTGTGTCTGGTCAGTTGAAGCTGTCACTTTGCTTTCTGCGGGCCCGCTTTTCCATGGCGACTTGTGTCAGCTTCTCCTCCCCTGATTTGAGGCGTTTGGTCAGGGTTCCTCTCCACTTGGCTGTCAGGCTCTCCGAACACTCTGTGTTGATGTCCACAGCTTTCATATTGCGCCTCACGACATCGAGGTACAGCAGCTGTGGCCACACGGCAGGTCTTCTTCTAGAGGCCAGCTCTCTATACAGGAGTTCTTTGGGGATGCGGCCGTCTGGCATGCAATGGCCCAACCAACGGAGTCTGCGCTGTCTGAGCAGTGTGAACATGCATGCTGAGCAAACCTGCTCGAGACAGGACCTCAGTGTTGGGCACCTTGTCCTGCCACGCCATTCCCAGGAAACGGCGGATGCTTCTTATGTGAAAGGTGTTCAAACGCCTTTCTTGCCTGGTATACGTGGTCCAAGCCTCGCTGTCATATAGCAGTGTGCTGACAACGATGAACAAAACACAGTTATTTTCAAAGATTTGATTTTTTTAGAGATGAAAATGTAATTAATTTCATTAAGCAGGAACCGCTAAGTTTGCCAATATATAAAACACATGATGGTTGTTATAAATGATGAAATTTTGGTTTTAGTTTTATGTAATATTTTCACAAATACACAATCGACAAACATCTTTACACATTTCAACAATGCTCAGTGTTCCAAGCGGACACACACACACAGAAACTCAAACGCCGGGCCTTATATTTCAAATGGTGTTGGTTATCGGTTTTGTATATGGGTGTGACACGTCCACCGGATCTAATGAATTCAATGTTCCGTCATTATCACAATGACTTTCGAGATATTAGTCATTGGCATAAATCTTTTCCTGTTCTCCAAACTGTAAGGATGAAAACTCAAAACAAAGTTTTAACAATAAAATATTTTCCCTTTGACGTTCTTTGTTTGAAACTTGGGTGAGAGTTGCAATTTATTTTGGACAAAATATTCAGTAAACAGTCATTGATATTCGGCTGTAAAGATGGACCTGGCGAATTTTTGACATATTCACTTTGAAGATATATTTTCAACAGCCTACGCTAAATTAACTATTAACTTTTACGTTCTAATGAATTGTGGATTAGTTAATCTCAGAGTGAGTACATTATCGATCTTATCCTGTTAAGAGGATTTAAGATCAAATCCATATCAGACACCGAATGTTTTATGAATGTAAAAAATGTTCTTTAACAACGAAAGCGACAAGAAATATTTCTTGTCTTTGAAAATGCAGTTTTAAATGTCCGAACATGCCAACGTTGATTTGACCAATTTCGATCAAGAATTTTTTCTCTCGAATATACCACTCGAGCTGAACGAACAAGTTTTAGACATACAAAGTTTCTTCAAACCGTAGTTGAGAAAAAAAAAACGCCGGTAAACTGGGCGACAATTAGAAAAAAAAAAAAAAACTATTCATTAAAAGGCACACGTTTCGATCCTAAAACGCCTTCATGAATTTTGTTAAAATAACTAAATTTGATCAGCGGGTTTCTTAATGATTTGACAGCTTCTCATTTTAACCGCAGTTCAGCAAAATGTGATCTTCATTTGCGGCCAAACGTTTCATTAGTAGAACTATTAGCATGGATGAAAACTAGGTTCTCTATAGTCATACCCACTGCAAAAGAACCATGATTATTAACCAATGAAATAGAACCATAATTGCACCCACTGCAAAAGAAACATAATTAGCAATCGCTAAAAAAAAAACATTAATTAGCACCCACTGAAAAAGAACCATAATTTGCACCTCCTGCAAAAGAACCATAATTAGAACCCACTGAAAAAGAAACCATAATTAACACCCACTGCAAACGAACCATAATTAGCACCCACTGAAAAAGAACCGTAATTAGCACTCACTGCAAAAGAACCCTAATTAGCATCCACTGCAAAACAACCATAATTAGCACCCACTGAAAAAGAACCGTAATTAGCACTCACTGCAAAACAACCATAATTAGCACCCACTGAAAAAGAACCGTAATTAGCACCCACTGAAAAAGAACCGTAATTAGCACACACTGCAAAAGAACCGTAATTAGCACTCACTGCAAAACAACCATAATTAGCATCCACTGAAAAAGAACCGTAATTAGCACCCACTGAAAAAGAACCGTAATTAGCACACACTGCAAAAGAACCCTAATTAGCATCCACTGCAAAAGAACCATAATTTGCACCCACTGAAAAAGAATCATAATTAGCACCCACTGCAAAACAACCATAATTAGCATCCACTGCAAAACAACCATAATTAGCACCCACTACAAAAGAAGCATAATTAGCACACACTGAAAAAGGAGAATCCATCTCCAACCAATGACTACAATTTTTAAAAATATACATTTTTTTCGTGGGATACGAATAGTGTCGCTTATCATGAAGTTAACAGTTAATACGGAGAAATATTGTTATTAGAATTGCATAAAAAATTTGCAGAAAAAGTGCCCACCATTGGTTAATCATAAAGGCGTTTACTTTTACACGATAATGCAAAGCTACATATTGCCTTAATCACTCCAAAAAAGATTACGACACTAAATATGAAAGTTTTCATTTTATCCTCCTCACTCTCCTGACATTTATTATTTCAGGTCATTACAATATTTTTCAGGAAAGAAACAGTTTATGAATTGTGAAAAATGAGTTTATACCCGAGGGATCAACATTTTGTTCTATAGATTATTTTATTAGTAATGACGAGAAATATTATATTGATTAAATATATCATTTATTACAAAAAAGCATTTATTTGTTTCCAGTCTTCAAATGTGACAGGATTTTCTTTCCAATACGATTAATTATTATAAATGAAACTCTAAAGTCTGGAAAATTCGTATAAAAATATTTGAATTACTTTGACGTTTCATTCGTAACTTTCCGTAACTTCATTTTGAAGATAATTAAGAATTTTAATTCCTTTTATATTCTCCTATCTGCGGAACTCTCTGATGACGGCTCCATAACCACCGAAACTTCATAGTCGTTAGTGTCCGACCAAAACCCATGACTACATTTGGTTTAGATGACAATCTCAGTGGACCCTTTGACATAATGGTGCCACGTTCTGTTATTTAGACAGGCTCCAGAATAGTTAAGGTGATCAAGCATGTGTCTGGGTCAACTTCTATGCAGTCACCCCGACTTTTGCACTATAACATCGTCCCGGATACCCTTTAGCAAGCGTCAAAATTTCTGTATCTATCTATCTCACCATCTTTCTGTCTCCACCCCTTTCCGACGCATCCCGATGCTGGCCAGACGCCACACCCTCGTGACTGTCCCGACAGATAACAAGCACATGATGCTGCAGCACAGATATTGATTTTTTTTACTGTTTGTCTACATTGCGCATCTCCATAACTTTTCAGGGAACAGGGAAAAAATATCCCGTTGGCAATGGTTCGGTTAGAAGAGGAGGGAAAGTTCAGAAGCAGGGGATGGTGGCAGTGACAGTTGGCCACATCGGTGGGTGGGTGGGGAATGCTAGAAAGAGTACGTTGTTGGCGAGGAGGGGGAAACGGTATGAAAACGGTATGCGTAATGAAAGAACGCGTTAGATAGTGAAGGGAAGATGGGGTAGCAGTTTTGGGTCTTATGGCAGACATTTTACGAAAAGAAAAAGTATTGATAAGCTGAAAATGAAAAGAGAAAATAATGGTGAACAGTAAAATTACCCAGAAAACTACATTCTTTTTCATTACAGATATTGATCACGTCTGGTACAAGGCTATACATATATATATAAGGCGTCATGTAAGAATATTCTTCAGTATACATAACTGTTAACCTCTTCTCTACGGCAAGACACTTACAGTCTTCTTTAATCGATATTTACAAGGCTTATCTTAATCCGGTAAAAGATTATGTTCGTACGGAGTCCAGTAAGGACTAATATTGCTTTAGTTGTAACGGTTTGTGAGAGCAGCTAAATAACTATGGCAAAACGATCAGTTTTCTTCGACATCACTTAATAAGTGCAAATGTGATACCAATGAATATGGCAGCTTAGATTAATCAAACATATCATTATAAATAATATACGATAATCGGAAATAAAGTAAATTAATGGCCGGCCGCCTCGTGGCAGATGGACATTTTCCAATTGTACAAATAGATATTGTTCGAGCCCAAATAATAACGAAGTCTTCGGACACTGATTTTCAAGGCAATTAGGACTTACATATATGGAATAATAGCGCCAAATCATCTCTATTCCAAGTTTGGTTTTGTGCTATAGTTAGATAAGCTATCAAGAGAGGATAAACCGAAAATTGAAAGAAAGAAAGAAAGAAAGAAAGAAAGAAAGAAAGGTTTGAAGTGAAAGAATTCGATTTGTAGGAAAGACTAGAAGAGAATGTAATTTAAAAATAAATAAAGAAAGAAAGAAAGAAAGAAAGATAAACTTGAAGTGAAAGAAATCGATTTGTAGGAAAAAAGAAAGACTACAAGAGAATGTACTTTAAAAAGAAAGAAAGAAAGAAAGGAAAGAAGGAAGAAACAGATTTTGAGAAAAAGAAAAATTAGAAAAAGAAAAATTAAAAATTCAAAAAAAGAAAGATTTGAAGTAAAAGAATGCGATTTGTAGGAAAGACTAGAAGAGAAAGTAATTTTAAAAAAAAAGAAAGAAAGAAAGAAAGAAAGAATGAAAGAAAAATAAATTTGAAGTGAAAGAAATCGATTTGTAGGAAAAAAGAAACACTAGAAGAGAATGTAATTTAAAAAGAAAGATTTGAAGTGAAAAAATGCGATTTGTAGGAAAGACTAAAAGAGAATGTAATTTTAAAAGAAAGAAACAAACAAAGAGATTTTTTCGAAAAAAGAAAAAGTAAGAAAGACTTGAAGAGAATGTCATTTAAAAAGAAAGAAATCGTGAGACTGGTTTGAGAAACAGGAGAGAAGAAAAGCTAATATGTTGATAGAGAAAGAGATAGGGGTACTTGGAAATCGATGTTGCCGTTTGTCTAACGAGACGAACCGGGGTTAGGGTTAGGGGTGTAGATTAGTGAGTAAAGAAATTGCAGCCTAAAGTGGGAAGCTCAGTCGAGACTCATCGACAAAACAGTAATCAGCTGCAGAATTTAATTTAATTTATTCGGATAGCAATTGCGACCAATGTGCAACGAGAGAGGAAATGTAAATGTCTATGCTTCTGCAACCTGTGCATCCAGCAGAATCAATTGAGGTTAGCTGCAGACTTCCGAGAGAGGGCACCGATCTGCATACAGTCAAGTGCACCCACACAGTGTCTCCGCTTCAGTGTTTTGCAATTAGTACAATTTAAAAGGACATTTATATCTACATGTATGCCAGAATTCTGTTGCACAATTTGGTCCCATTGGAGAATGTATGGCAACCATTTCGCTATCATTTTAATGAACGCAAATTATTTATCTAGAAATAATATTTATAGACAAATTGTCTATTTACAAATTTTATAAGCGCTTAAGTTTCGAAATATTTTTAGCATTAAAGTATAATGGCATTTAAATTATATTGATTTACTTAAAGGTATACGTCATATAAATGTAGAATTTGTATATTCATAAATTACATTCATTTAAATGTATAATCAATATAAATGTAGAATATGTGTGTTTTTTTAAATTATATTTATATAAATGTAGAATTTATATAAATGTAAAATTTGCCTCTCTTTAAATTATACTGAATTAAATGTACAATTTAAATTTAAAATTGTATTAATTCATTTAAATGTATTATTTATATAGACCTAGAATTTGTTTTTGTCTAAATTATAGCCATTTAAATATATCATTCATACAGAAGTGTAATTTTTGTATTTTGAAATTATATTTAGTTAAATTTATAATTCATATAAATGTAGAATTTGGGTTTTTTAAATTATATTAATTAATATTTCATTTATATAAATGTATAATTTGAGTCTAATTAAATTACGTCGATTGAAATGTATAATTTATATTTGAATTTGAACCTTTTTAAGTTATATTTATTTAAATGCATAATGCATGTAAATGTAAAATTTACGTCTGTTTTAAATTACACTAATTCATTTAAATGCATAATTCATACAAATGTAGAATTTGCATCATTTTTTAAATTGCATTTATTTAAATTTATAATTCTAATAAATGTAGTGTCTGTTTTAAATTATATTAATTCATTTAAATGAATAATTTATATAAATGTAGAATTTGTATCTTTTTATCTTATGAGTTAATATTTGTCTATATTTCTGAGTATTATGTACATTTTTTACTTTATTCAGACTATTATCCCATTTTTGTCGCCATAGTTATCACAACATTTCGGCCGTTGTACGCTCCGGCCTTCTTCAGGTGGTTGGAATTTCGAACTGAACCCTTTATTTCGCTCACTGAGGTAGACTGTTCTAGTTCCACTGTGCCATGTGTCCTCAAGGACACATGGCACAGTGGAAATTCAGGGGGAAATTAACAGGAGATAACTGATAACTGACATCCATCAAACATGGCACGTGGAACTAGAATAGTCTACCCCAGTGAGCGAAATAAAGGGTTCAGTTCGAAATTCCAACCACCTGAAGAAGGCCAGAGCGTACAGCGGCCGAAACGTTGTGATAAATATGGCGACAAAGATTAGGACAATAGTCTGAATAATGTAAATAATAAGTTAATATCTATATTACATGGTATCAAAATTATTTTCATTTTAGTAAATCTTTAAGCCGAAATTTATTTAAGATACAAGCTATAACTCCACTGTATTAGTCATTTTAGTATAATACACAAAAATGCTTGTATTATTTACTTGTAGATCAACACTTCTACTCAGGATTAGTGTATCTATGAAAATTTTGTTACCTAGGCTTTTAGCTGGAATCAGAGTGTAGTATCTGTATACAATGTGAAAAGTGATATACACACAAAATTTATGATCGTTTATGTTAATTCACCCCTAAATATTAATTTACCCCAAAGTAAAAAAAAAATTATATTTACTAAAATTGACACACCATTGCACTCCAGTTGGGATGACCTTTGAAATCCCATCCAAATATGGGCGACTCGTGTGCGCTACTTTTAAGTGTAGGGTCTTGTCTCGCTCGCCCGATGAACAAGTCAAAAACATTTTTTCCTTTTTTTTTTTTTAAGATTATAAAAAATTTTTTGTTAAGTACCTGGAATATCATCTGCACTTAGGAAATATAAATAACTCCGTAATTTTGTTAATTTTTAACTCTAATCGTTGGAATTGTTGCGAAACTGGCTAAACAAATTTTGATTTAAAATTTATAATTTCTTGGGTTGAATTAATATTTGCGATAAGTAACTTTACATTATTTGGGGCTAATTAAGAGAAATGATCCAAAATTTATATACCAATACACATTGTATTTTATATATGTGAATATTTTTTTCTAATATGCCCAAACGAAAATAATATCACGAATTTATACGTGAATAACGTTCGTAAATGAACATTTTTCTGTAAAATCAGATAAAGTTTGTGATCGTAGTAAATTTTCACCATTCCTTATTGAGCGTGAATTTTTAACTTAACTTTGTATTTTCTGCATAAGTCAAGCTCGAATTTTTAGGTTGAGTCAAGTAATTTCTGTTTTTATGAATCAGTTTTAATAACAAATGTATCTTCCAAGCTACTAATCTTACTTTGCAGCTAAGAATAAACTTGAAGTACACTAACATACGACATTGTTCAACGCAAAAATCAGTTGATTGACATAGATAGAATAAAGGTATTTTTGTGCGTGTGCTGGGATCATCGGGGTATTATTCATTCCGAGATCTTATGACCTAATAGAAAATTAAATGCAATTTGATACGTCCGGCAGCTGCAACGTGTCCATAAACGTTCATCGAAACGTCAACAGGAAAATATTTTGCTCCCTTTCATGACAATGCAAAGCCACATGCACCAAGAGTAAACACACAAGGAGTGTAAACATTTCTGAATGGTTCTATCCCACCCGCCATATTCATCTGACCTTGACCAAAAGATTATAAGCTTTTCTCCATAGCTTCAAAACGCTTTGATGGGGGAACATGTTCTCTGGTGATAACCAGATTCAAGAGAATGTCAAAAAAAATTCACATCAAAACTTGTGGAATTACCTTCAAAAGGCATCGCAGAGCTTGCCTGATAAGTCGTTGCAGATAATTGAATAAAATGCAATTGTACTTTATTTTGTGAAGAATAAAGTTGATGAACGAACAAGGAAAATGCTTATGACCCAAACTAATATTATTTCGTGTTATTTTACTATCTAAAAGGATTTTGCTTTTTAAATCATTAAAATAAAAATAAAATCTTCAAAGATATTACAAAGCAAAAGAAATAAAAAGCAATATGGGTCTGTTGTTATGGAAATACGGTGCCTTGGTTATTATCGAAACGGAATATCTCATCATTAAACAACAGAAATAAAGATGCTTGACCGACAAATATATTGTCATATTGTTTTATATTGTGGATCATATCGCATTCAATTTCAATTTTTCTTTTAGATAATATAATGCCGGATACAAGTATTGAGATTCTGGCTACTCTGTAACATTATTTGAAATTTGGCTTCAAATAATTTAGGAAGTTCTCTGAAAGAAATCTGTAGTAAAAGGTAGTGTGCAAAACTGTTTTTAATGATTGTGACTTGTGCCTGGAAAAAGAGACCAGAAGTGGGTGACATGGATGACACGTCATTTATCGATTATAAATATTTAAAACGCAAGTTAGAGGAAAACCTGACGCAAGCAATACACGAAAACTTTAATAAGAACTTGGATCTTCAAAATGATATCGTCAAAATGATATCTTCAAAAGATATCTTCAAAAATATAATATGGAGAGAATAGTATAAGCTAAATGACATAGAGCTGATTAAAAACACGAAAATGACTGACTTAGACCATAAAAGATGTTTGTACAAAATCTATATATAAAAACGGATTCAACCGTAAAATATCCGAGATTTTTCTGCACTATGTGCCTTTTCCCTTCAAGACGTAGGCAATCATAGCTCTCCATTACTTCCTATCCTATATATCTCTTATAAAAGCTTGTCGTTTTACTATCCCTTCCACCTCCTGTTCGTCCAGCCATTTATACAAACTTTTTAGGGAGATTTCCTACTCTTTCCCCTCTCACTGTCTCCTTCAGTATGTCCTGTGAGTGTAAAACTCTGAAAGCCATCATTACTCATTATGTGTCCCAGGTATTTCAAGTTTTTCTTTCTGATTCTATGTATAAGATGTGATTCTGCATATGAATGCTGAGAATACCATGAACGATGTATGTGAGCAATGAGGAAGTTTTAAGGGTGTTGGGAACAAAAATATATGAGAATAAGAAACGAATGAAATGGTTTCGATTAAGAAATATATGGCATTCACGCTTTATCAGTGTTTTTTATGATTATTATTATTATTATTATTATTATTTGTTTCCTTCATTTGGAAATGGAGAGAATTGCCAATATGTATTAAGTTTCCAATTCAACTGAGAAAAAAATTCTTCAGGAAAAAAGGGCGAAATCCAATTTTCGAAAGAAACTGAAAGGAAAAGCTTCATTTAAAAACAAGCTGAAGGCTTAATGGAAAAAAAAAACCCCAGTGCTTTCGTTTCAAGGAAAGGAAAATATTAGTTTAAGAGCCGAAAGCGCCTGAAAGGAAATAAAACTGAACAGATTTCGGACGGCATTTTAGCTAGCTACTGTGGAGGACTCTTGATTAGGCCTTCATCAAAGAAGGGAGGGAGGAGTAGTTGCGATAGGCAACAATAAACTACAGAAAAAATCAAAATTATCGCTGCATTTAAGTATAGCATCAATATTTAAATTTACATGTCTATATTTCAGAGATGAGGTATTATGTA